CAGGAATGGCAAACGAACTTACTTTACTCTTACAGGCACTGCTGATTTAATGTGATTTTATAAGTTTATTTTATTTATAGATTTGTAATTTTACACATCACTTTTAGTATCTAGTTTGGATGGAAAGAATTAAAAAAAATACAACAACATGCCAATTAAATAAAACCCAGACAGGGTTTTTTAAAAAATTGCCATTCATTTTTTTTAAAAGTCCATTTTGTGTGGTCTCCTTTACATAGACAAAAAGCTTCTAACAAGATGCAAAATGTGATTATGTTGTACTTATTTTTAATTGCTGTGGTGACTTCATATTGACCAAAGAGATTATATAGATAGGTGCTATTGCCAGCCAAGACCATATTTTTATGAAGTCTTTTGTGTGGTATAAATGGTGAGATTATGCAGAGAAACAGTTTAGATTGTATTTTATTCAGGTATAGAACTCCCTCCTTCTGGAGCTCTGAAAGAAGCAATCCAACTCTGAAAACATTGCAAGATTTAAAACAAAAATTTGGAAAGGTTCAGTGGACATAATTTAGCATGAGTTCTTTTAGGGATATTCTTATTCTAAAGATATTCTTTATGCTTAATATAAGAATGAGCATTCTCTTTAATATATCAGATAGGTGGTATTGTTATTGTTGTACACATACCAACTAAAAAAAATAACCTAAGTAATCTGAACCCATTAGGAGTGTAGAAGTAAAGAAGTCATTAATGTAAGCCCACGGATATTGAATACTTTGGAAGATCTATAATCTTTAGTAAAAATAGGCAGCAATTTTCATCTTAAATACTGCTGGGGTGGGGGAATCATGCATGCAAATATAAATGCAGAAATCTGTAAAAATACTTACCACTGTTAGAAGCATCACTGAGATTTAGCAAACCTCCTCCTAACCCTCTGTAACTATGGTAACTGTAGGTCCCGTTTCCATTTATGTACAACACCTCCTGTGTGCTGGAAACAGCTGATGTTGAATAAGTGACCTGGGTTGGTTCCTGTTTATATGGTTTGTCAGCTGGAGCAGTCTCATCCTGCAAGAACAGTGGTTCAATATACAGTGTCAAATCACTGCTGCATTTTCCCCCCTTGAATGAAGAGGACATTGCATTATTTAATAGACTTAACCTATAATACTTTCACAACAGGTTAATGTGAAACAAGCACATACAAGTTTTGAATTGACACTTTATTTGCCAGAAAGAAACCAAGAGATCATTGTGGGTTATCCTGAAAACGGCAATGTTGTTTATGGGTGTTCCATTGGTAGCTACTATACCATCCAACTTATCCATACCCACAGCCTTAAAACATCCTTTGTGTCAAGGAAACCTAAAACTAGAAGGACACAGAGAAATTATTACACTGCCATTTGAACTAATTTTCTTTTGTCAGTCAGTCAGGCATTTATTACGGCAACAAGCCATAGAACACACATGCTTAAACTGATTTTCTTGCTGCAAGAATAAATTGAGATTTTTCTTGTCAAGCAATGGTTAAAATACATAGGCAGATTCTTTAGAGAGATCAGCACCAAGGATGCTAGGAGGGGATAACAAATAATGAAGGAAAATGAACAATAAATCATGGACCTGAAAGTCATCTCACTCACACTCCTGCCACGAGACATGATTCTGCACATAACAACCAACCTATACTTTACTAGCTCCCATATAGATAGATCCCCTACAGGCTGACATAAAGAGAAAGTGGGAGAGAATATGACATTCTCTTGTTAAAAGCACCTGAATATTTTTTTTTTATCCATATACAGTTTTTTTTCATATCTGTATAGTGGTGAGGAAATATTGGCTCCCCAGACCAGGAGGTTTGATTAAAATGATCATTCACCCTTAGGATAAACGTGTTGATGAGCATTCGTGTACTCCTGTGGTGTCTGATGAAGCACTGTTTCTTCCTTTTCGAACAAATGCATGCACAGAAACTTGCATTTCCATAACCCTCAAAGCCTGGCCATGCCTGGTAATGTTAGGCACATACATTATATTCCCTGCAATATTAGCTACCTGCCATTAACTGGACCACTGCATCTCAAATTATTGCATTTCTTCTGAGATCTCTACATTCCAAGTTTGCCACCACTGCTCTTGTAAATAATTTTGCAAAGTTGATCCCTGTTCTTTGAGTGGAAAAATATAACCAGTCGAATACTTCTTTAAAAGTAAGGAAATACAATTCTTACAACAGTGGACATGGCCACTTTTCCATTGTGATGAAGGAATAATCAGCAGGGGGGAAGTTTGGGACAATTTATAACAGTTATAGAACATGGAGCAGAGCTAGAGTCATCAACTTTCAGGTGGGGCCTGGAGTTCTCCTGGAATTACAAATAATCTCCAAAGTCAGTTTTCCCTGGAAGAAATGGCAGCTTCAGAGGGCTGATTCTATGACACCACATCCCTGATGAGCTCTTTTCTCTCTCAACTCCATCCTCCCCAGGAACTGGCCTCGTATCTCCAGGAATTTTCCAAGCTGGAGCTGACATACTTAAGCAGAGGAGAAAACTCACCACACTACACCACACTACCGTACCCTACCCTACCCTACCCTACCCTATGCTACGCTATGGCAGATTTCACATCTGGCTAGTAGTTTACTCTATTGAGTATAATGATTATTCTGCACAATTCTCCATTTTGAAGTTTGGGACTGGTTTGACTTCCTGGAAGGAAAACATTATTTCCACTTAACTTTGTTTCCTGAGGTAAAACTAACTAGGTAACATATGAGGTTTTAGGTGCTTTATAAATAACTAGCAGTAAAGCCCGTTGTGAAAGCAATACAACGAGATCTAGAAAGATGTGATTTGTAACAAATGCATAGGCTGGAAGGAGGTAAAGTACCTCCTGGAGATTTGGGGGGTGGATTCCCGGCCCGGGGGTGGGGGGGGGGGGGGGGGAGGGAAGCCGGCGACCGGAGGCTTCTGCCTCCTGTCTCCGGTCCAGGAGTAGGGGGGGTGGAAATGGACCCGGCGGCCGGAGGCTTGCACCTCCAGTCACCGGCCCTGGAGAGGGTGGGCTTGGGTGTGGGGAAACGGACCCGGCGGCCGGATGTTGGCCCTGGAGTGGGTGGGGGTGGGAGGGAAAACGGGCCCTGCGGCCGGAGGCCTCTGCCTCCTCAAATCTCCAGGAATTTCCATACCTAAAGCTGGCAACTTTATCTCCTCCCCTCTCAGCAGCCTCTTTGTAGGCAAAATTCTGTCTTTCTCATTAGCGGGGAGCAAAGCAGCTTACTTCATTCTCTTATCCTCAAATCTCCAGGAATTTCCATACCTAAAGCTGGCAACTTTATCTCCTCCCCTCTCAGCAGCCTCTTTGTAGGCAAAATTCTGTCTTTCTCATTAGCGGGGAGCAAAGCAGCTTACTTCATTC